TGATAGATATAAGAACAGCACCATCCCATCTACTGTTAAAATAATAAACAACTCCTGATTTATGTACTGTACAGCCCTGTAAATGTATTCAACGCATATCATTATGTCTAAATCATATGTAAGTTTGTATATTTTCAGCCACCGACTGCAACTCTATTAATAAACCGTTTATTATTATTATTATTATTATTATTATTATTATTATTACACACACACACACACACACACACACACACAACCTGTCAATCAGACCATCGTTACACTTGTGTTATTAACTTGAGGCAATCAACGGAAGCCTCTTAGTGTGATTACTGTTGAGAGTTCTTTATGTCTACCCCTGTGTGTGTGTGTGTGTGTGTGTGTGTGTGTGTGTGTGTGTGTGAGGAAAGGGGCAAGGGTGTAACAGGGAGGGAGAGGGAGAAAGTGAAGGTGTGTGAGTGTATGAAGAAAGAAGAGGTGAGAGAGGGAGAAAGGGAGGGTGTATGAGGGAGAGAGAGATGATCTCACCTGTACTAATCAGTGATAAAAGGAACTGTCAACTGCCTTAATTAAATTCTCACTTCTCGCTATGACTTCTTACCTGTGCCTAGGGAGGGAGGGGGCGGGGCCCTAAGTGATATGACGTCACGCCCCTCTAGCTGATATGGAGTGAAATTTCGAGTGTCTTGATATGTGTGTGTGTGTGTGTGTGTGTAAAAGCATGTCAGATTACTTTAAATTTATAAAGAAAAGTCAAAACACACATATCATCACACACACACACACACACACACACACACACACACACACACACACACACACACACACACACACACACAATACATCAGAGACTCGGAAGTTATTAAGAGTTATTGTAAGATATTGTAAACACGATCTCCCTCCTTCCCTCCAGCTTGCGATATTCGGCACCGTTTTCTATCGCTACGAGTGGAGGGGAAACTTCGGTGATTTTTTATTTTATTTTATTTTTCTTCTAAATTTTGATAAAGTGGTAAAGTTGTTCTCGTTGTTTAGAACTGACGCTGTTTTGAGTACAGCCTTTAAATCATGGAGCTGCATTTACGTTTTTGTGGTAGTGGCGGACCCAGATATTGTGAGGAGGGTGAGGGGGGGGAAGGGGTGAGGGGTGAGGGGTGAGTGGGTGAGAGGTGAGGGGAAGGGGGTAAGTGGAGGGTGAGAGATTTTTTCCCGTAAGTATTTTTATTTTATTTATGACGTCACTGAGGTTGTAATCGGTGTCGTATCCCAGTCATCATGGGTCCCAGTCATCATGGGGCCCGTCATCATGGGTCCCAGTTATCATGAACCCCAGTCATCATGGGCCCCAGTCATCATGGGCCCCAATCATCATGGACCCCAGTCATCATGGGCCCCAGTCATCATGGGCCCCAGTCATCATGGGCCCCAGTTATCATGAGCCCCAGTCATCATGGGTCCCAGTCATCAGGGGCCCCAGTCATCATGGGCCCCAATCATCATGGATTCTTGGTCTAATACGTCGTAATCCTTATGACTATATTAGATACCAACTCATGTTATGTGATACATTATTTAAATTATGACCTTGACCTATAACCTCTGACCTTTTGACCCTAGACTGACAACACCTGGCCCTTGACTTATTAGGGACCTGCCACGCCTTGCCATAAACAGATGTATTGTATCGGTAATTCTCCCCGACACACACACACACACACACCGAGCACTGCCTCCCTCCCCCATACTCACGCGCCGTCATCCGGGTTCATTAATGGCCTCGATAACAACACAAATATCTTTCGTTTTTTTTTGTGTGTGTGGTTTTTTTTTATGTCACACTGAGATAAGACTAAATTCATTATCGGATTATTTATTTTTTCTCCACGAGCCTTTGACAACTGGTAAACATCTAACTCTTTAAAATAAACCAGAAAGAATTGAGACGATGAGGTTGATGACACTGGCTGGTTTAGTGATAGAGGCGGTGTAGTCTAGTCCCTCCCGCCATAACTCTGTGTACAGTTAAGATACAAATCCTGTTTATTCAACTCTTGTGGGATCTTGTTGTGATCTATCTGTGTATCAAGTTTGGTCAATGATAAACAGAGTTATTTATCCTGATATACACGGACGGACAGACGGACGGATAAACACACGTTCACCAGGCAGCCTTCACGGACGTCGGGGACTATTATGTAAGATGACTACAAAGACTCGCTTATATAAACAGCTGTAAGGTCTCTGAGGTGAACTGACATAATGTGTTTAGTGGCGAGGCAACTGCCAACACTTGTGCATTTGATAACACCGACTCGATGACGTTATCAAAGCGGGAGGGTTGGCAGCCCTGCTATTTGTAAACAAACCTGACACACGCCGCCCACGTGTTTGTGTTTCATATTAACGGGGTTCCCGACACAGGTTACTGACTTTGGTAGTTTGGAAATTAAAGAAAAGAAAATATAATCAAGAAAATAAACTAATAAATAAAAAAATAATAACAATAAAAACGAAAAAAAAAGCTATTTCAGGCAACGTCCATTTTTAATTTCAGTTTTCATAGCGAAGGAAATTTTGTGGTCGGAGAAACACTAAAAATAATTTATGGTGCTGGGAAATCTGATTCTGGAAGTCGGAATTGACGTTTAAAAAGATTGGAGGTGGAAATTTGGAGGTTAGAGAGCTGGCAGGTGCTTCAACAGGAGACCTCCCAGGAGCCACACCGCATTTACCTCTCCAACCCTCTTCCCCAACCCCAACCCACCCCACCATCTCCTCCTACCCCCTCCTCCCCCCCCACTACCTCTCAAGGTAAATAAATAAATAAATAAATAAAATCTATTAAATAAACATAAAAGTTATAGAATAAACTATGAATAAGAATAAGGATTAAAACCAAATAAATTAATTAGACTTTGAGAGCCTTGTGGAAATACACGATGAATAAATATACATAAATAAAAATAAATTAAAAAGTGATAAAATTCAGTAGATATAACATGAATAAAAAACAAAATAAACAATAAATAAAATTCTTACTGTAGGTCGTCCTCTGTTTAGGGATCTGTGATGGAAGGGTTATCTTTTTTTTATAATTAATTGTCTTAAAAGTCTCCTAGAGTATGAAATTTTGACATAATTAATGGTGCTAATTACTATGAGGACACTTAATTACTACACACACACACACACACACACACACACATCCCCGAGTTGAAAGTCACACAAGCTCAATATATTAAACGAAGCTGTCAACATATATGCCTGTCCTCCTCCCCCCCTCTATCTCTCTCTCTAAGACAATAATAATAACACACATTAGAGAGAACAGTTTAACCCAAGGACTATAATCTAATCCTTGGTTTAACCTTCCGTGTTATATTTTAACCATGTTGTTTAAGACCTAAGTAGAGTTAGTTTAATGGCTACGTGATGACCTTAGGACGGAGGTAAATGACTTGTCTTTGAAGTGACTGATTGATATAAATGGTGTACAATAATTCTGTCAGCTGAGGTTTGTTTTGTCCCGTTTTCTGTTGTATTATGGGAGGGGGGACTTAGAGGATGGGGTGTGTTAAATGGTTTTTCTATTACTTCAAGATCGAACTTCTTTTATCACTGCTATTAATGTAAAATATAAACAAGTTTGTCACAATAACTGTTGATTGACACACACACACACACACACACACACACACACACACACACACACACACACATACACACACACACACACACACACATGGACGGGCATAAACAACAAACAACTCTGACAGCTGAAGAACCAAACACACAAAAACAACAGCAACATGCAGTGGCAGAAAACTTCATTATTGTCCTCGGTCATAAACAAGAGGACCTTGACACGAGCTAAACCTGGGCCTCTCACCTGTGTCACCTGCTGTGCCAGAACTGACGGTGAGAGGGGCGTCGTGTTGGTCGCTGATGTGTGGTGCGTCGGTCCTCAGGTAGAGGGTGGCTGGGGCCCTCCTGTGATTCTCGTTGTTGAGGAACTGGTTGTCAAGGACGATGTTGTTCTTGGTGGGGCTGAGGCACTCCTGGTTGTTGGAGATGGGGGCACGAGGTCCTGGAGGCCGCGGGGAGGGCGGGCGGGCCTCCAAGTGTGACCCCAGCACCTCCGTCAGGAGGGCACGAGCTGCTGCCTTCGACGACTCCGTCCTTCTCGGTACTCTTACCCCCGGCACTCCTGGCGACGTGACCTTCGCCCCACCAGCGGCGGGATCCAGCGGGACGACCTGCCCGTTTAGCAGGCGGCTGAGAGAGTTGGCAGCCTCTCTCTTCTTCGTCCTCCGGGAGTTGCCTCTGGCGGGAGGTTCCTCCTTCTTCAACCGCAGCTTTTCCTCTTCGACGGGAGGGACATACAGCACCCCACTGTCAGACTTACAGTGGGCGGGGATGCGCGGCACGTAGAGGGAGCCAGGGAGGGCCGAGGGCTGCTGCGACACTGCCAAGGTGTCACCCACGCGCGAGCTGCGGGTGGTGGGTGATGGGGGCTCTGGGGGTGCCAGGAACTTGTTGGTGGCCACCAGGGTGTTGTCGTCAGCGTAGACCTGCACCAGGGGCAACGGAAGGCACCCGTGGGTCACCTCACCCTCTAGGGCGGTCAAGAGCGGCTCCTGGTAGCCGCGGCGGATGGGCGGGGGCGGTGGCATGATGCTGAGCCTGTGTGGTGGGCGTGAGTCACCCAGCATGTTCATCTCCCCGTTAATAACATAGCTGTCAGGGAAGACCTCGTCAGCCCCCGCCCGGGGCCGCCGGGTGGTGCAGCCCACAGTCATGGGCGGCGCTCCGTTTACTGACTTAGACGCTCGGACTTGCTGGAAGGTGGTGTTGGGCGGGGGCGTGAGGGTGACGACGGGGGAGTCAGGGGCGATGGTGATGATGGGCGGGGGCAGACACCCACCATCACGCAGGGGTCGCCGCAGCTTTACGTTGATAGTGTACTCGTCCTCCACCACCAGCTGACCCACCATCCTGCTCCCTCACCTAACCTAACCACATGAAACAAAAAAAAACAAGAAAAACCTCACAACTAATGGTGCACCTCGTCACTCCACCTGCCGTGGCCCTCAGCTTCTGACACAGACACAGAAAAAATAGATCCCTCTTTTCTTTGAAATCCGGAAGAGATTCTTCCCTCCAGCTCACTTCTGTTTACTCTCGAGAAGACACAGATTCGTTCACTTCATCTCCCCACAACCGTGAAGTGAGTGGAGGTCTTGCTTCACCTCCTAAAGACGGGTCACTACAGCACCTCTGAATGTCCTGAACATGGCAGCAGGACCAATAAATTCACAACTAACATGACAGGACCGACCACTTCAGAGATCTTAGTGACCAGGGAGGGGGAAGGTGTCTGCAGCTCAGCTTCACATCACCTACACAACGACCATTTTCACTCTCGTGTTTTCGTCAACTTTTCACTTTATCTACAGTAAGTCAAGTTTCGTTTCGTTATAACACCTCTTAAGTATAACAAAATATCCTCGTTACTACCGTGGTTATAGTCGTTTAATTTACGCCGTTTTCTGTGACGTGAGAAAGTTTTCGTTTGTTGATCATTCCAAGTTGTGAGTTGTGTGTCGTTTTCTGTGTCCGATACACCCACTTAGGAGGGACAAACTCTCTTATTTTTTACCAACTCGTTCACGTTCAACTCCTGCATTGAAAATAAAATCATTAAAGACGAAGTTGATGGATTAAATATTTCCTTTTGTTTGTGATATCTGAACTTAACAAATTTATTAAAGTAATTCCCATAAACCTAACCCAACTGGAAGCGAACCAACGACCCTTAGGACGGGAATCGAGCATTGTAACCACTTACCCACCTTACTCCTGATGATATTATATAACTAATCTATTTTCTCGTCAAGTTCAACTCCTAAATAGACAGCACAAAATAAACGGCACCCATAGCCTATACGTTCATCCCCTTTAGGAAACACTCAATCATCATCTAAACTCACAATTGTCTAATACCTTAAGTTCAACTCCGTAACAAAAAAACAAAACAAAAACATTATTTACCATCACCCAACAACAAAAACATTAACTCGAGAATGACTGTCAAACCCTCACAAAAACAAACATTTATGAGTAGGTTAAACAAATACTCATAAAGAATGTACAGTACTTGTGAGAAGATAATTTACTCACAAAATCACTGATAATAATAAAAAAAAAATAATAATAATAATAAAATAATAATAGAAAAGCAATAATAATAATAATAATAATAATAATAATAATAATAATAATAATAATAATAATAATAAAAACGTCATTATCTTTCACTTTCCAGACAAATTTTAGACTTTCGTTCAAAACTGAGACGTAACTACACCTCAACATACTGGATTCAATAACTACCAGAGTAATCAGAGTTAGTTAATGATCCTTGGTATAATAATATAAACGATCAACTTAAAATTAAACTGAACTTGACAAACTTAAAGTAAACTTCACACACACACACAGATTAAAACTTTAAATAGGCTTGATAAACACGATACAAACTTACATACACGTGAACTTGATCGCCAATAAAGTTCAGGCAAAAATGTCGCACACGTGGGGAGGAGGAGGGTAGTAGGAGAGGACAGGGGGAGGGATGGGAAGGAGGAATGGAGGAGGAGAAGGGGAGGAGGAGGGCAGAGGGGAAGAAGGGAGGGAGGACACTTGCCAAACGCCTGGCTGATCTCATTGTTACTTTCAACACTAAATTTTAAGTAGAATGTTCCCAGGCCAATCCAACGAGGGAATTCCTCTCTCTCTCTCTCTGAAAGAAGGATAAACTAACATATGATAAAATAATAAAGATGTTGGTACAATAAATAATATAAAGTAAAACTGACACACACACACACACACGCTATCTACCCCTTGTTTCATATCCTATTGTCTCGAGAAAAATCCTAGCTATGATTGATGGTGTGTGTGTGTGTGTGTGTGTGTGTGTGTGTGTGTGTGTGTGTGTGTGTGTGTGTGTGTGTGTGTGTGTGTGTGTGTGTTCTTCAAGACAATACTTTTCTTGCATCATATTCAATATATTATTGTTTTGAAATACATTCCCGTGACATAATTATTGTTTTAAGACAAATTATTCCACGTCCTTTCCTCACACTACTGTACTGTTTCAAGACAAAAAAAATGGTAACTTGATTATTTTCTAAAGACAACCATTGCCATAACCTCCCATTGACGACTGTTTTCTTAAGACAAACCATCACTCATCACTACTGTTTCAAAACAACTATTACCACATCCCCTTATGATATTACTTCAAAACAACCACTACCATACTACCATTCTGTTATTTTCTTAAGACAAATCACCATCGTTACCATAATATTGTTTCAAGACAGACGCTATCACACCTTCCTGGGGGGCGGGAGGGGGAGGGGGGGTCAAGACAAACTGGGGCCTCCTAGGTCGCCAGTTTCTGTTGTTTTAAGACAAACGTAAACAAATTAAGGTGAGGAATGTGTTGGCTGGCGGCCCTGAGGTGTTGAGGTGTGTGTGTGTGTGTGAGTCACCACTGACGAACTACCCTGACTGGTAACTCTCTCTCTCTCTCTCTCTCTCTCTCTCTCTCCCTCTCTCTCTCTCTCTCACTCTCTCTCACAATCTACCCCGTGACTAACAACACCTCTGGCAGCGCTGGTTTTACCCTGGTCAAACTCTGCCTGCCAGGTGATGGTGCCCCTGGGGTAACTCTATAGGAGGGGGGGGGATGGGTGGGCAGAGGAATAGGTGGCAGTAAGAGGGATTTCAATCTAAGAATCACGTCATACGCCCGCCAACACCGATTTTCGAGGGAAGGTAAAACCAGGGCCCCAGAGAACTGCCAGTCGCCCCATCCCAAACTGTCATACGACACTGAGATACATGTTAGCGTTGACAGCAAGATGTGAGTTGTATTTAATTCATGTAAGGGATAACCAAAAGGGCTTAAGCACCAATAACACAACAAAAAGTCTCAACTGATTCACACTTAACCAGCGCCATGACTAAGTGACGATGGGATTAGTGTCGAGGAAGTGTGTCAAAGTTTGTCACCTGTGGCGCCTAACAGAGTGTGTGTGTGTGTGTGTGTGTGTGTGTGTGTGTGTGTGTGTGTGTGTGTGTGTGTGTGTGTGTTGGCAATACTGATGAATCAACACGGAAGACTTGGCAAGGAGCAGAGTGTAGGGAAGGAGGAAGGGAGGAGGGGGAGGGGGAGGGTTGGAGGGGGAGGGAGGGGAAGGAGAAAGGAGGATTGTCATCACAGCTATAAAGGATTGGTGGGAGGAAAATGGAAGAGAGGAAGAATAGAAAAGGAGAAGGGAGAGAAAAAGGAAAGTAGAGAGAGTAAGTTAAGAGTGGTAACATCTGGTATTTTCACCCAGGTTATATAACAGTGCCAAGATAATTGTGCTGATATTTGGCACTCTAGCACTAACTGACCAACACCCCCTCTGCCTGCCTACCTGCAGCTACCGCTCTCTCTCTCTCTCTCTCTCTCTCTCTCTCTCTCTCTCTCTCTCTCCCTCTCTCTCTCTCTCTTTACCATCTTTCTCTCCCTTTTTTCCCAATGTTCCTCTCTCCCCCTTTCCTCACTCAATCTTCCCTCTCATCCCTCTCTTCTTCTCCCCTCTCACCCCTCTTTACTAAGTGCATCAACGAAACATAATACTTTGGGCATTGTTCAACTGGCAAGAAGCTGTAGTAGTCGGGAAGGGGGTGCCAACTGACCCCTTCCACTCCTCCCCCATCACCCCTCCTCACCCCACCCCATTAACCCCCCTCCCCACACCCAACAACCCCTCCCCATTCCCTCCCACCCTCCCCACATCACCACCCCCACCCCACTCTGCATCTCCAACCCCTCCCCCTCCCTATACCCCCCACTGTAACCTCCCCAACCCTCTCCCTCCCCATGCCCCACAACCCCTCCCCTCCCATGCCCCCTAGCTTCATCCCTCCTCCCTTCCCCCCACACCTGGACTATCGGGTCAGTGACGTTAATAAAAATATTTGAAGTAGCAGCGCCACCCACCAGCAGCGGTCGTCGGGGAATTAAAAAAAGACAAAAATTAAGTAAAAATAAATCCACATTAAAAGCTGAGAAAGAAAGAAAGAAAGAAAGAAAGAAAGAACCAAGTTACAGAGCAGGAGAACAGAAATCTGCATTAATTACAGGTCACTTGGCTAACACCATCGCAGTTACGTCATGTGATCACCATTCACACTGGACTGACTGGTGACACTGAACCCCTCGTGTCACCAGTCAGATCGCCAACCGGTCTTTCACCCCAGTCACAATTCACATGACTGGTGATAATACGTGACATTAAACACGACCAGTCAGATCACCAACCAGTTTTTAATGGCACCAGTCACGAATCTGTTAACTGGTGACAATAAACATCTAAATCACCAGTTACGGGTCACCAGTCAGATCACCAACCGGTTTTAAAGGCACCAGTTATTTTTTTTCGGATGGACTGGTGATACCGGTATGGTTTACATCACCAGTCACACTATATCTACCAGTTATTGTAGCACCAGTCACTGTACTGTTAGATTGGTGACATAGCAATCTGTTCATGGTAACACTGCAACCTTAAATCACCAGTCACTTTTGTAATTACTGGTGAAGTACGTGATTCTAAAGTACCAATCACCAGTTTTACGCCATCAATCACCAGTTTTACACCACAAATCACCAATATTACGCCATCAATCACCAGTTCCAATCACCCGAGTCACTATTCTGATGATTGGTGATTATCCGCGAAATAAAATCACCAATAACAGTTATTTACAAAGACATGAAATAAATAACAAAAAACATTATTATCTCTTCGTCCACAAGGAGTTCTCCCTCTAAGTACAGTACGTGACAGATGACGTTATAAGGACGAGGGTTTTTCTTGCTGCTACGGACGTGATTAACGGACGAAAAAACAGCCCCTTCTCTCTTTTATATAGGGCGTGGGAAGAGGCGTGAAGGCCGTGTGTAGAGGGCATATGGCCGTGCGTCAAGGCGCATGGGCGTACGTAGTGGCGTGTAGCCGTGCGTAGAGGCGTATGGGCGTGCGTAGAGGCGTGTAGCCATGCGTAAAGACGTGTTGGACGAGGTCAGAGGCGTATGGGCGTGCGTCCATGTGTGTGGTTACTGGAGCATTAAGCAACGGACATCCAAGACAGAAAGACACTGAAGATTGAAGTCGACTGAAGTCACTTGAAGTCAGTTGAAGTCAGCCACAGACACGTCTTCGATACAGCTCAACAACCACCACCACCACTACCACCACACCGCCGCGGGGAATAATCTTCAAGTAGGTGTGTGCAGGCGTGATGGGGGAGGGGGGTGAGGATGGCGGTAGGCGGCAGTAGGTGTTGGTCCATAAAGCAAGTGGATGAGATACGGACTGACAGTATCAAGAGGTTGGTCACTGTCGCATCGCCAGGGAAGAAGGTGAATCACTTGAACACACGGCAGACCTCCTCAAGTATATGGCGTCAATATCATCCTCATCCTGCCCGGAGTTCTCTGCTAGATCGCCTCCGTCATATCCCGTAACACCTAGAGAATGTAGGTCCCTGTGTGTGTGTGTTGGGGCGTCACACATCTGCACAACACCTACAGACAGACAGACAGACAGACACAGA